TTTTTTTTTTTTTTTTTTTGGCCAGGGCTGGGTTTGAACCCACTACCTCTTGCATATGGGGCCAGCGCCCTACCCTTTTGAGCCACAGGCGCCACCCTCATTGCTTTTTTTTTTTTAATAATATACTTGTTGGGCAACATGGACAAAGAAGGAAGAGGTACCCACTGGCTATTAACCAGTTGTCTCAATCCTAGTCCCAAAGGATTGAGGGGGGGATTCAATTGCTCTCCCCCAGCCACATGAGCCTAGTAGTGGAGCTCATGTTAGGCGCTCATCAGAGCCCCATCTTCAGGAGTTTACTTAATCCTTCCCGCATCTCAGACTTTATTCTGGTGTAATTTTCCTTCTTCATGTACATCTTTTAGACGTTTCTTTAGTAAGTATTGGGGGTATATTCTTGATCGCTGTTTATCTGAAAACATTCTAATTTTTTTAATTTCAGAACATTATGGGAGTACATTTTGATGATATGCATTGCTTTTGTGCAGGTTGAGTCAAAGTTATAAGTGTGCCCATCACCCAGATAGTGTGTATTGTACCCATTAGATGTGAATTTACCTGGCCCTTCTTCCCCTCTCCCTCCTGCTTGCTTTCTCTTGACTTTTATTACCGTATGTGTACATGGGTGTTGATTAATTAGTTCCAATTTAGTATTGAGTACATATGGTGTTTGCTTTTACATTGTTGAGATATTTCATTCAGAAGAATGATCTCCAGTCCCATCCAAATTGTTAAAAAGGCAATTAGTTCACCATCTTTATGGCTGTGTAGTATTTCATGGTATACATATGCCACCTTTTATTAATCTGAGTTGATATGACTTGAGTTGATATGACATTTTTGTGAATTGTGCTAAAGTAAGCATTTGAGTGCACGTGTCTTTTGATAAAATTACTCTTTTTTTCCTTTGGGTAAATACCCAACAGTGGGATTACTGAATCAAATGGTCCATGACTTCCCACAGAGGTTGTACTAGTTTGTGGTCCCTCCAGCAGTGTATCAGTGTCCTTTTCTTTCCACATCCGTGCCCCTATCTGTTGTTTGGGGACTTTTTGAGAAATGCTATTCTCACTAGAGTTAGGTGATAGCTCATTGTGGTTTTGATTGGCATTTCCCTGGTGGTTAGAGATGTTGAGCATTTTTTCATACATTTATTGGTCATTGGTCTTCTTTTGAAAGCTTCTGTTCACATCTTTTGCCCACATTCTAATGGGGTTGTTTGGTTGTATGTTGTCTGTTCACACTGTTGATTCTTTCCTTGGCTGAGCGGAAGCTTTTTTAATTTAATCAAGTCTCATTAGCTAAAGTCCTAGTTTTTGCTCTAGTCCTTAACAGTTCTGTTAGGTATACAATTATAGGATGGCATATATTTTCTTAGCATTTTAAAAGTATTAACCCCAGTTACTTGGTTTCTGTTATTGTTGTTGAGAAGTGCTTTGGCAGTCTGAATTCCATTTTTTGTGGGACTCTGTCTCTTCTCTCTGCCTCTTTTTCTTAAGTCTTTGGTGTTCAGCAGTTTTATTGCATTCTCAATATAGATTTCCACTTTTATTTGTCTTTAATTCTAATTGGGATTTGCTAGCCTTCATAAATATGAAAATTCCATGTTCTTCATCAGGTCAAGATGCTCTCAGCCATTATCTTTGTGGCTATTGCCTCTTCCCTATTCTTCTATCTTTATGGAACTCTAATTTTATATATGCTGACCTTTTCACTTTATTCGCCATGTCTCTTTGATATTTTCCCATCTCTTTAACTCTCTAATAATGTCGTATTATTTCTTAAGCTCGATCTTACAGTATACTTAGTCTCTCTTCAGCTGGACCAAATCAGTTGGTTAATCCTTGTGTTGACTTATTTACGTTATTACAGAGCTGGGTGCAGTGGCACGCTCCTGTAATTCTAGCACTGTGGGAGGCTGAGTCAAGTGGATCCCTTGGGCTCAGGAGTTTGAGACCAGCCTGAGCAACAGTGAGACCTCATCTCAAAAAATAACTGGGCATTGTGGTGGGCGCCTATAGTCCCAGCTACTCGGGAGGCTGAGGCAGGAGTATCTCTTGAGCCCAAAAGACTGAGGTTGCTGTGAGCTATGATGCCACCACGGCACAGAGAGCCTGGGCCACAGAGTGGGATTCTGTCTCATAAATAAAGAAATAAAGTTTTTATTTCTAGAACATCTATTTCAAGCTTTAAAAAATATATTTGACCATTTTTTATAGTCTCTTGCTCCTTATTCATGTGTTTAACTTCTTTTCTATTTCTTTAAACATACTAAGCACATTTGTTTTGTGTTATGTATACACTAATTTTATCTGTAAAGCTTTTACATAACTGATTCTCCTCTTTCTTCTACTCAATCTCACTCATAAAGGCTTATTATTTGTCTGTGTGTGTCTGGGTGTGCATGGGGAGGGGGCAGTGTTAGTTAGGTTGTATTTGTTAGAACTTATCTGAGAGATATTTTGAAGCCTGAGTTGAGGGAACCTTCCTCCAGGGAATATTTGTTTTAAGTTCTTTCAGATGCCCAGAATTTATTTTTTAAATATAGTAAGACTTTGTTTTCGGTAAATTTATTTCCACATCTATTTGAATTATTTATTTTTTTGTTTTTCTGAATTACTTTTTGCATTCATATGAGGATAGAAGTAAAATTATATCATTTCTTCAGAAGGTGTACATGCCACATCTTCAGGTAAAAGAAATCTTTGTCAGGAAGCTTTACATCCCATCTCACACAGCATTTTGATTTCACTTTTTAAGTTTTTAGTTGCAAAATATATATATATATGCAGAAAAATGCACATATCCTAAGTGTACAGATGGCTAAATTTTTACAAACCTACCATACTATGGAAAACAACACCCATATCCAGAAACAGAACATTACCAAGGTTTGTCAGAGTTTTATCAAAGTTTCCTTCATGCCCTATTCCAGCGTTATATGGCCCTTACCCAAAGGTAAACACTTCCCAGCCTCCTAAAAGCACAGGTTAACTTTGCCTGGTTTTTATCTTTGTGCCTGTCTTTTTCTATCACTCAATATTAAATTTCTAAGCTTCTACCATGTGGTTGAATATAACAATAATTTGCTCATTTTCACTGATACATAGATTTTAACAGTGTTGTTGTATTACAATTTAATTATTTTTACCACCAAGGGGCATTCTGGTTAGGAATAATACAAATGGTGACACTGTGATCATTCCATTAATAATTCTAGTATATACCTTTCTGTTAACATAGCTATGTATTTATGTTGATCATATACCCAGAAGTAGAATTGCTGAATTATGTAGCATATATAACTGCCAAACAGCTTTCCGGCCAACAGCATATAGGAGTCCAAGTTCTACATCCCCACCAACACTTGATTATTTTGTCTTTTTTCCATTTCATTTATTCCGGTGGGTGGGTAATGGATATCATTGTAATTTTAGTTTGAATTTCCCAGATAATTAAGGAAATTGAACATGTAGATTGGCCTCAAGTTTGTGAGATCAAACTAATAATGTAGACTCAGTCTCAACTTCCATGAGAGGACCGGCCAGAGTCCGTGAGTACTCAGGGAAAGATTTTTTTATTATACCTCCACACAAAAATCAAGCTGAAGCAGAGAATTCACCATCTTTTCTCTGCTATCTGCAAATGGCCACAGAGGTTGTTATTTTGTTTGTTTTCTAGTTTGCCTTTTCCCTGAGGGCGGAGGTTCCTGAAACCCACCATCTTTGGAGTGGTCAAGGACCCCTCTCTGCCTGCATGGGCCCAAAGCTGGTCCCTAATTCCTCCAGCCTAGGGACTCTAGTTGATTCCTCCTCGCCCATATGTGCTTCCAGAATACCCAGAGCTTTAGTGCTTAGTCAGTTTCCTGAGGTCAGCTCCCACCTCTTTTTGCCCATTACACATTTTTTTCCACTTGGGAAGCTTCCTGTTTATTTGAAAGGCTGTTTTTCACATTTTAATCATAGTTTTAGGAGTGATAAAAGTAGATGATTTCAGGATTTTTTTAGTTCACCATTTTGTTTCAGGACTGAGATATAATATACAGTCTGGATATGGCTTATTCTGCTAGCAGAACCCTCATGCCTTGTGATGGGAGGTCTCTTTGTGCCTAGCACAGTTGGAAGGCATGGTTCTGATGGTCTGTGAGGTGTTCCCACAAAGCTCTCTGGGAAGGTATCCATCAGGTAAATCATCCAAGAGGCCTCACTAGCAAAGGAATGTAGACAAAAGTCTTCTTCTACTCCTGGATGGAGACGAGGATGAATCCTCTATGCCTATGTGAGTCTATGACTTCATAGCTTCAGAAAGAAGCTAACCTGGTAAAATAATCAGCTATAAGGGTGAGAACTGGTGATCCCAAGATTTTACCCACAATTGAGAACATTCTGTCCTCTCATTTAGAAACTGTTAGAAAGATAAAATCAGCCCACAAAGGAAGCAAAAGAGTAAACAGAAAGAGGTAAGGTTGTCTAATTATACATTAAGGTTCAACAAGTCATATTTTTAAATTCTATAATGTTATTGTATTTCTTATGATATTTCTTTGAATAATAAGGTTATTTTGAAAATGCCCCTTATACCTAGATGGTATATGTAATTAAAATTTTGAAAATCATGTAACTATACAGTTTATCACACACTCAACTGCATTTTTACTTTTCCCAAACAAATAATTGAATTTTCTATCTGTAGTTGCTAAAATGGCTCTTCAACTTTAGTTTTGCATTCTTAGGTCATGTCCAGTGATAAATATAATTCCCTGTAGTATAATTCCCTGTAATTCTTATTTGAAATAAGTAAAACATCTCAGCTTTATTTCATTTATTAAAATCAATTATATTTTGTTTTCAATACCTTCATTAAGATTTAATGCATTTGCAATATCATCGGTAAATGAAATAAAAAGAAATTGTCTCAAAATCATAATCATACTGATGCCATGTGTATTTTAAACATCTAAACTATACTTGTTTGTCTTTCATTACAGAAACAAAGGCATTTTAAAAAGAGATTTCAATCTCGGTGGAAAAAAAAGCCTTATATATTCATGTTTGCACCAATCTCCTGTGAAATTTATGAAGAAAACCCAATTGAGGACAACACTCCGTGGAAGCTAGCAGATACAGCAGGTGGTCTTTGAGGACTCTTTGTTAGCATCCTGTGATAATGAGTACATGGACTTCTGTTCATTCATCAAATTGCATCGACCACTTTAGCTGCCAAGAGCCTGGATCTGACTTCCAACCATTAACATCTATGTGAATATTGATCTACCTCCACCTTTTAAAAGCATTGACGAATGAATCAGAATTTTGTCAAACAAAGAAAAGTAAAAAAAAAAATTCTTACTAAATAAAATTTGATATATTGAAAACTACAATGAGGCAAGACTGACTTTTCTATTTACCTTCCAAGAACTAATGTAATTGCCACCTTAAAAAGAAAAAATGAACAGCACATGTATTCACGAACAGCACGACCTGGATCACTATTTATTTCCAATTGTGTACATCTTTGTGATTATAGTCAGCGTTCCAGCTAATATTGGATCTCTATGTGTGTCTTTTCTGCAAGCAAAGAAAGATAGTGAATTAGGGATTTACCTCTTCAGTTTATCACTATCAGATTTGCTATATGCATTAACTCTCCCCATATGGGTCCATTATACTTGGAACAAAGACAACTGGATTTTCTCTCACACCTTGTGCAAAGGGAGTACATTCGTCATGTACATAAACTTCTACAGCAGCACAGCATTTCTCACCTGCATTGCTGTTGACCGATATCTGGCAGTTGTCTACCCTTTGAAGTTTTTTTTCCTAAGGACAAGAAGATTTGCATTCATGGTCAGCGTATGCATCTGGGTATTGGAAACCATCTTCAATGCTATCCTTTTGTGGAAAGATGAAACAATTGTTGAAAATTGTGATGGCCAACAGTTTATTCTGTGCTATGACAAATACCCTTTGGAGAAATGGCAAATCAACCTCAACTTGTTTAGGACATGTACAGGCTATGCAATCCCTTTGGTCACCATAATGACTTGCAACCAGAAAGTCTACCAAGCTGTGCGGCATAATAAAGCCACAGAAAATGATGAGAAAAAAAGAATTATAAAACTACTGCTCAGCATCACACTGACTTTTGTCTTATGCTTCACCCCCTTTCACGTGACGCTGCTGATTCGCTGCATTTTAGAGGGCGGTATGCATTTTAATAGCCACAGCAAGTCTGGGAAGAGGACTTACACAATTTATAGAATCACAGTCGCATTAACAAGTTTAAATTGTGTTGCTGACCCAATTCTGTACTGTTTTGTAACCGAAACAGGAAGATATGATATGTGGAATATATTAAAATTCTGCATTGGGAAGCGTAATACGTCACAAAGACAAAGAAAACACCTACTTTCTACATCTACAAAAGATACTGTGGAATTAGAGGTCCTGGAATAGAACCAAGGGTATTTTGGGGGGAAGGTGGAGAGAGGAAAAATTAAAGTCACAGTATTAAATCATCTTGATGATACAATTATATTTTGAAAAGCAAATCTAGAACTAAGGGCTCACAGAGATTTTTTTTTATCCTATCCAATAGAAATATTTTTAAAGTGGATTGTATAGCTCACCCCTTGAATTTTATTAAATGAGGTATATTAAACAAAATTAAATATTTTTCTCATGACTCAGGGTCATCATTATTAATGGCAATTTTTTTTTTTTTTTTGGTATCTGTGCTATCATCCCTCAGAGGTCAGTGAGGTGGACAGGACTTTGTATCTGGGCTTGATGATTTTTCTCCCCTCCTTCGTATTTTAGGCTTTTGGCCATTAGTTCTCTCAATGCTAGGTCGCTATTTTCAACAACCTCAACTTCTAAATACTTCTCTAGTCTTTTCAGTTATTAATGATTATTTATTGAACCCATCTCAAATACTCAGTTTGTGTTAACTACTGAGGCTCCAAAAGAAATAGTCTCGTGAAGCCTCATGAAGTTTACATCAATTCAGAAACCTAGTCACTGAGCTTGAAATGCTTCCATATTAAAAAAAAAAAAAGTCTCCCAGTTTTGTTTTGATTTTTTTTTTTAGAATTTGCACAGAGTGCAACACTGAAATTATCATAAGTTCAGCATCTAGACAAATAGTAGTTTCATTAAGTTTTACAGTCAGAGGCTACTTTTTGATTTAGAATATTTACAGAATCTTGTACATTTAGACTAAATATCCTTTTATATTCTTTGGAATCCTCACTGTGGAAATTATGCTTTCAGTAGTTTCAGGTAGACATTTTTCCTACTTAACGTATGTCTAAAGATTTTTCTATCATATTTTCCTTCCTTTCCTTCTCTTACCTGTCTGTTCTTTCTGCTCCCTCCAAAATGATCAGACAGCAAATGCCTCGATAACTTTTGGTGCTCTCATGCTAGAAAACTGAATCCTGACAAGAAGGATGAATATCCTTTCAATAATGAATTTCTAGACACACACTGAAAAATCAGTGAGAGCACAAACTGAGAACATTTTCCATCAAAGTCTTCCATGATGGGGTGTGTACGTCACAGATAAATCAAAAGATCCCAGAAACAATTGTCCCCATATCAGGAATCTCAGATGCAGATGTGGCCTTATCCAAGATCACACTGTTGGTGGAAGACAGAGCCAGGTCTTGAACCCAAGAATCCTAACTTCCCTACAGAGTTGTTTTTTCCCCTTTCTGATTTTTTTTTTAACTTCTGCTGTTTCTTTCTATAGACATGATAAAGACAGATGCATGAAGAGCTGTTCAGTGTAGTCATTAGGTTGAGGTCAGAATAAAGGGAAAAAGGAGAATGATTTCATTCATAAATACCTCTGAGAATATACCTCTAAAGATGATATAGAAAGTAATTAAACTGATGTTATAGAAAACTGATTAGCACTTTCCCTCAGTTTGAGGGAGAGAGTTGAGGTCAAAGAGACATCTCAAATAGGAATTTGTGGCACCCTTACTAAGAATGTTCTACTGGCCAAGGGCAGTGGCTCACACTTGTAATCCTAGCACTCTGGGAGGCTGAGCCAGTTGTAGTGCTAGAGCTCAGGAGTTTGAGGTTTCTATGAGCAAGCTCAAGACCCCACATCTACTAAAAATAGAAAAATTAGCTGAGTGTGTTGGCAGGTGCCTATAGTCCTAGCTACTTGGGAGGCTAAGGCAGGAGGATTGCTTCAGCCCAGGAGTTTGAGGTTGCTATAAACTAGGCTAATGCCATGGGACTCTAACCTGGGCAACAGAGAGAGACTCTGTCTCAAAAAAGAAAACAAAGAGAGAGAGAGAATGTTCTACTTAATGATTAACAGCAAGCATGTGTTAGATATTGGGCGCCAAGTTCCCAAGTGAACAGCAAACCTCCCAGCAGCCTGTCTGTCCTATCAGAGCAGGACCAATCATGGAGACTCAGCCATGCTGGTTGAGGTCAAAGACACATCACAAGTAGGAATTTGTGGCACTCTTTTGGTTTAAGACAAAATGCTCTAGAAGTGATTTAAAATTATCTAAAAGCTCAGCATTGGAAAGTTAACAGTTAATCCTTTGGTTTTTAAAGGCCTTTTAGGTTGTTGTTTTTAACTAAAGTTACCCAATAAACTGAAAATAATTCTAGAAGGGCTGAGACTTTTAGCTGTTATTACCTGAGAACTTATTGTCTAGAGACCTACACTGGAAGATCAGATCATCCAACTGTTGGACTTCAAAAATGTTTGTAATTTCCCCAAGCCTCAATTTCTACAAAGTGCAGGAACAATAGTAACACCTGCTTTTAACAAGTTGATGTGAAAACACTCTGTAAACTGTGGTGAGCAGTCTAAATGTTCATTGTTATTAGTTATTCTCAGCTTTATCAGGATTGTAAGAAAACTTACCCCAGACATAGAAAAGTCCCTGAAGGGATACTGGATATAGGAATGTAGTGATGTAAGCTGGTAGGTGCTGGTTCCAGGACACCACTGCTATAGGTACTTCCTCCAGGTGGTTAAATACATCCATTAGGGTACTGTAAGGACCTCCACTGTTTCCAGCTCTGCAGAACATTCTCAATAGGGCCTGCTTCTAGGATTTCGTGATTCTGAGGAGACCCACACTGTGACATCAACATACAGGTAGATATTTATTTTTAATTCATTTAATTTTTTGATTTTTTAGTATCTTATTTGAAATGTTATTTTAGAATTTAAAAACTCAAAACAGGCATCCTTAATAGGCCAGGGTAGGGACCAAGTACGGGTTTTCGAAATCTCCATTTTCCTTACTCAGTCTGGGGCTTTGTGGATGACGGGGAACTTTAAAACACCTAAAATAACCACTTCATTTGGTTCAAATTATTTAACATTATCTTACCTGGAACGTCATGAGAAAATCTGCTTTACCCAGCCTGTTTTACTCCTTTTCCTTTATTCCTTTTTAATTTATTTTTTGAGACAGAGTCTCACTCTGTTGCCCTGAGTAGAGTGCTGTAGCTTCATAGCTAATAGCAACCTCAAACACTTGGATTCAAGTGATCCTCTTGCCTCAGCCTCCCAAGTAGCTGAGACTACAGGCACCCACCTCAAAGCCCAGCCAATTTTTGTATTTTTAGTCGAGATGGGATCTCACTCTTGCTCAAACTGGTCTTGAGCTCCTGAGCTCAGGCGATGCATCTACCTTGGCCTCCCAGGCATGAGCCGCTGCTCCCAGTCCTTTTTCATATTCAAACTAAGCTAACAGGTTTCCCCATGACATTAGATTTCTACTCTTTAATGTGATGATCAAAAAAATGATTACTTACCAATTGCCTCTGCTGACTTTCACTTGATTTATTTTTAGTGAGACGCTGCTGATTTTAAATAGAATCTGTGATACAGAGCATTTAGGCATTTTTTGACAATACTTTCATCTTACCCTGTGATTCTTTTTGTCCTGTCCTCACTGTCATCATTCTGCTAGCCATGCATGAGGCCCCTGTTCTTTTCTGGCTAAAACTATCCATAGGTTGCTATGGAAACACAACAGCTACTGTATCATCCTAATCCAAGAAGGCCTTTGTGCTGATAGACACCTTTGTCTCGGTCTATTGGGCGACCCTGATATTGAATCAGAAGAGTTTCTCCAACACACACCCCCCCCCCCACACACACACACACACATATTTATGGATACATACAAATGACTTGCCCTACCTCACAAAACAAACAAAAAAGCAAAAATCCCTGGGACCTTTTAACATGTCCTTTTACTGGTCTATACGTTTTTTAACACCAACCAGTAGAACACATGGTCACTCCTTGACTTCTGAAATAATCCACCCCTGGCTATTTTTATTGTCTTACTAAATCAACAGCCCAGGGAGTCTGGAGGAGGGGGACCTTTTTAAGATTCTCCTTCTCTCACCCTCTTTCCTTCATTCTCCCTCAATCAGAAGTGGCTGCTAAGGGACCTATGGTAAGAAAACTCCTCTCTGCATTTTTTTCTTTGCTGTACTTGTCTGGAAAACTCCAGTTCTGAAGGAATTTTATAAATAATCTACTGGGTAAACAGCCTTGAGGAAAAATCATAGAAATTTAATTTAAAAGAATGCAGAAAGGTACTGTTTTAAAACTTTTTTTGTTCATAATATTAATGTCTGATTCAACCCAAGTACAAATATATGTATATGTATATGTTTGACCATGATCTCTAGTATCCCTTTTATTTTTTGGTGTTTCAAATAGCTTAAAGACAGATGGAGCACAACCTGATTAGCTTCATGTTATTAGTTACATTAGCTGAATGCAGCTGGTTTTAAAGAATCAGCTGACCATGGCAAAAATGTATCAAATACGGGGTGAGAGGAAAATGATGAGGGTTAAAATTCTTCTTTTCTCCTAAAAGATCCTGTTACTAGCCAAGAAAACCATGTTAGAGCCTGCCTGTGGCCACTAGGTGTCAATCATGTTCTGTACAAAACCAAGTTCACTGCCAGGCGCCACCCTAGAAAAGCAGAGCCGCCTAAAATGACATTTTCTTACCGAAGAAACAAGAAATAGTATGCAGTAGATACACTACAAATTGGAAATGAAGGGGGGGAATGAATATCTCTTCGTATTCACTTAATTCTCTGCTGTATGAAAAGCTCAGCAATCATCAGATAATTTCACTTGGTTTAAAGTCCATATATCATCCCAGTTATATTATTTTTAGTGTTACACTCAATCGTAGGACACAAGACTATGCACAGCTAAATTGTTTAATTTCTACAGGATTCTTGACATGACATTGAAGATATGTCCTTAGGTAGTTATCTTACTCATGTTAGAAAATACTGGCTACTTTTCATGTAAATAGAATTGTAAAACATTTACACTCTAAGCAATTTGCATCTTTATCTACTATTATGAAATTATGTTTTATGAAATTCAAGATGTAATTCAACATATGTATGATTTTTAACTTCTGATTTATTGTTCGATGTTGGCACTAAAAAGCAATTAAATTTGTTATTTTGAATTGCTTAAATCTATTCTTCCCCAAAGAACAGCCATACAATCATGTTCTAATTTAACAGCATTTGC